TTGGTTACAAAGCTCTTCTTGGGATAATGTAGCCTTTGAAAACAGATTGTGATCCAGTGGTGCAGCTGTTAATAAATGAAAGTCATGGGTTTGTGTTGTGTTTTGTTTTAATTTTTGACAGAATCAAAATGTAGTGTTTCAGTGCTGGTTAAATTAGTGTCTTTTTTTTAAGTTGTTACCTTTTTAATACTTGTAATATTATTTTGTCTTTAAGAGCTTAGATGTTACTGTGGGCTAAAAATCACAAACTAACCAATACCCGGGGCCCAGCTTGCTGCTTTCACACTCTTCCTGGTCCCTGCTGGTATGGCATGTGGTGCGAGAAACCAAGTTTGCTCTTGCAATAACGTTTTTGTTGCCTTTTTAATTCTGTTCTTTTTAAAAAAAAATCCCACAATGCAGTAAACAAGACACTTTCTGGAGAGTAAGATACTTTAATCAGCCACTAATCTGAACAGTGTGGCCGTTACCTATAGTTAAGTTGTAGAAATAATTGTCTCTATATGGTTTTGCTTGTATAGCTTTATGCTTCTCTCTTTGCCACACCCACAGCATACATGGTATGGGTGGAGAAAGAGCCGGAGTGTGAGGTTCTGACCGTTATTGCCTCCGGTCACAGCCTCATGGACTAGGGATGTTAAGGACTAGTTGACTATCTGATAAGCAAATGCTATCAGATAGAGGCAGCAAGTGGAGGGAAGAAGAGAGGGTGCTTCAAAGCGGCAGCGCCACAGAGAGCCCAAGGTCAGCTGCTTGTGTAGCGCTACTGCTTTGAATGCAGCAGGGAGCCTGGTGTCAGGCGGGAGCCAGCATGCATGGGGAGCCAGGATGCATGGGGAGCCAAGTTTTAAGACAGCTCTCTGTGTGTGACAGCTCTGCGGAGCTGCCTGCTCCCTCCCCTTGCTGTTTCGGGAGATTAGTGGGGCAGCAGCCGTGTATACTGGGACACTGCTTGCTTTTCTTTCCGTTCCCCTGACGATAAAGGGAGCGAGGGGAAAGTATTTGGATTCCGTGAATAATTCCTCAGCCCCCTCCCTTATATCACTTCTCGCTGGTGGCATGCACAGAATCCAAGTACAGTAAAACTCCAGTTGTCCGGCATCCAGTGGTCCGACACTCCCTATAGTCCGGCACCAACTGGAACCCCGAAGTGCTCTGGCCAGCCAGACAATTGGCGCTGCTCCACGCTGCTTCCTCAAGTCCGCTGCTGCTGCTGCTGAAACTGACCAGCTGCAGACCTGGGGAAGTGGTGCGGATCCCTCCGGCCCCGCCCTCCACCCCCCTGCTCAGCGCCCGGCAGCACCCCAGCTGCTCTGCCCCACGGCTTCCCCAAATCCGCTGTTGATGAAACTGACCAGTGGCTGACATGGGGAAGGTGTGGGATAGAGCAGCTGGGCTGCTGCCAGGTTGGTCCCGCAGCGCTGCCCTTCACCAGCACGTGGTTTGCCCCATGCTGCGCAGTTCCCCATCCGACACCCCTCCCCCCAAACCTGTCACAGCCCCCCTGCCGGAGTACCTCCTGATACTCTGGCATATCTGATAATCCGGCACCCCCTGGGTCCTAAAGGTGCTGGATTATCGGAAGTCTGCTATACTTTCACCTTGCTCCCTTATCAAGGGATCAGGAAGAAAAGCAAGTTGCCTCTTGGTACGCATGGCTGCATTCCAAAATGGCACCCTTGCTTACCCCTCCCTCCCCCCAAATGTGTAAACATGTAGTCACTAAAATTTCTCACAGTTACTGTTTACCCAAATACACAATAGTTAACATCCCTAGTTTGGAACTAAGTATAGCTTTTACACTAAATTTGATACTTGTTTTTGCTAACCGGGAGCATAAACTAGATGTATGCACATTTATTTGTGGAATTGAACAGTATAACTTACATTCATTTGGACTCCTAATTTTTATACTTTTAATTATGTTAGAAAATTATTAAGGATGAGTTTCTTATTTACTAGATTATTTTTTAAATTTGTGATTAGTGTCAAGTGCTACTTGGATGAAAATTCAAAATGCACCAAAATGACATTTTAAAAATTAAACTACCTTAAATGTGCTGGATACATAAATGCAAAATATATTTTGATGATTTTTTTATTTATTAAGCAAAAGAAATGTTATCTGTCAATCATGGATTGAACATATTATTTTTGGTCACTAGGCGCATCCAGATTTTAGAATTAGTAGCTCTCAGAATCTGAAACCTAGTTTTTATTCATAGACGGAAAGAGGAAAACATGCTTTCCTACATGTGATTCCTGATGGTGTTTGGTTTTGTTTTTAAACTTTGCATAGAGTACTGAAAATATTCTCTGTACACCTGTAGAAGAGGTGATTGCTATGAAAAACTGGTTTAGCATTTCAATAAACTCTGGTTCCACACACAAAGTCCATGACTTCCAACAATTCAGTTGTTTGCTGCCATCATTTTAAAAAAAAGTCAAGCACATACTGCTTAATATTATTTTTTGTATTTAATTTAAATGACTTTAGAGATTGAAAGTAGTTCAGACTAGGGATGTTATGAAGTGGGTATTTCATTAATCATGTAGTCGATACAATTTTTTTATCGACTACACGATTAGTTGATAAGGGAAGGTGCTCAGTCCTGGCTTGCACCGGGTCCAGGACCTATCTTCGCTGTGGCTCTGCATTTTGAATGTAGTAAGAGCTGGGTGCCCTGTCTGCCTGGCTCTACTATATTTAAAATGAAGAGGTGCAGCGGGGGTAGGTCCCAGACCCGGCACGAGCTGGAACTGAGCCTGTCTTGCTCAGTCCCAGCTCTCACTGGGTCCAGCATCCCCTGTCTGTGGGGAGCTGGAACTGCTCATGAACAGGGGCTGCTGGAGCAGCCTCTGTTCACAGCTAGCTTGGGCCACCACAGTCAGGGGCTGCTCCATTTGATGTGGAGCAGCCTTTGCCTATGGTGAGCGTGAGCCTGGGCCTGCTGTGGGCAGAGACTGCTTGCCTTCCCACCCTTGCGCTGCTGCTTGATAGAGACAGCAGTGTGGAGGGTAGGTGGCACTCTGAAGACAATGCTGGGGGTAACTGACTTTTAAGCTGGCTCCCCTCCGCACCAGCTCCTCCTGCCACCTCTCTTGCTGTCTCTGTATCAGAAGCAAGCTTGCGCTTATCAGGTAGTTGTCTACTCGCTTACATCCCTAGTTCAGACTAAGGATGTTAAATTGCAGTTATCTGGCTAATTGTGTAGTCAATAAGGACCACTCTGCAGAGCTGTAGTGGGGATAGCTCCAGGAGCTGGGACTGAGCAGTTCTGGCTCATGCCAGTTCTGGCAGCCACCTGTGCTGCGGTTCTCTTACTATAATTAAAATGCAGAGGTGCAGTGTCATGGACCAGCGTGAGCCGGGACAGCTTGGCCCTGGTTCGTGCTGAGTCCAGCAGCACCTGTTTGTGGTGGCCAACACTATCTGCTGCGAACAGGGGCTGCTCTGGCACCAGTCCCTGTTCGCAGCAGCCAGGGCTGGCTGTGGCCAGGGGCTGCTGCCAATGCAGCCCCTGTCCACGACCAGCCAGGGCCACCGTGAACAGTGGCTGCTTAGTGTCAGCAGCCCCTGCCCACAGGGGGGCCCAGCTCCCTACTGGGATCCCTGCAGACAGGAGCTGCTGCCAAAGCAGCTTCTGTCCACGGGAAGCCTCTGGCTGCTCGCTATCCCCTGACAACTTGCTAACATCCCTAGTTCAGACCTTAACATAAGTTGTCAATTTCTAATTTATCTTTATATAGGCTTTAATAGTAAACCTGTATCTAATTTAAATAAAAACATATTGATTTTTTTAAAAAAGTAATTAACCTTTATCCATCGTGGAATGCAAAGATGTCCACCAGCCACCTGGTCCCCACCCCTCCATCTTGGTGAACAGATGAATCTAGCCCTCTGGATTTTCCTTGTTTGTTTAAATATGGACCCTGTCCTAATAATGCTTCTTATCTGCATTGGCATAAATTGGCAGCACATTTGCTGAAGGCAGTAAAGTTATTTCAGTGGGATTGAATGAAGAATAAAGACTAACACTATAGTAATGAACAGATTAGTATTTTGGATTTTTTTTTTCAAATTTAAAATGACATGAGTGTTCTATCTGGAATGGAAGGAGAAAACCTGCACATGTCATTCTGTACCTGCGTGTATATAGGTAAGGAGCCTGAGAGAAAAGCATACGCTATTTCTTCTTCAGATTTGTTAGAAGCATTTGGTTAATGCAGGATATGTTTCCTTGAATAGTGTAATGTTCATTGTGAATAGTTAATCATATGAGTTGTAACAGCTGCCACTGCTACACCAGGAACAGAGTGCACACAGGAAGTTGGTAAACATAACGTTGCTTGTTGAACTCTAGTGTAGGACAGCCAGTTAGAACAATAATACTCTAGTACACACGACTAGCTCTTAAAGGGAATCACAGCAAATAACAGGAACTGTTAACTATGCTTTCAAACCCTACAATAGACATCAATCAAATGCAGTTTGTGTATTCATGGAAGTTAGGTCCATCATAGCTATTAGCCGGGATGGGTAGGAATGGTGTCCCTAGCTTCTGTTTGTCTGGAAGTGGGAGACAGGGGAGGGATCATGTGAGGATTACCTGTTATGATCTCTCCAGATCTGGGGCATCTGGTATTGGCCACTGTTGGGAGACAGATACTGGCCTAGATGGACCTTTGGTGTGACCCAGTATGTCCGTTCTTATGTGTTTCTGTAATGAAGGCTACTATAGTTTATCTATGCTCATCAATGATTGTTGGAATACAAAGAAATGTCCATCTCTCCTAGTGCATTACAGTCCCATTTATCAAAAAATTTTTGGGCAATCTAAAACCTTTGGGGAAAGATAATTTCAAATAAATAGGAGTATGGGAACCTGACTGGGTTTTAGTTAATGTGATTTAATTGTACTAATTTATTAATGAGCATTGTGATCCTAAGTTTGCATCTCTTTTTTCCTTCAGTTCAGCTGAGCTGTTAAATTTCCTAATGCTTGCGCTTGATGAGGTAGATCTTACCGTTAAGTGTATTCTTTCTCTTAGCTCAGAATACTTATTCTTTTTCAGTGTTTGTCTTGCATGTGACTTGCACTTTGTACATTCTTGGAACTAGTGTCTTGATATTCTTTTATTACATGAAGTGATATAAATTGGAAAGATTGAACAGGGGTAATGACCATGTACTTTGACATGCTGCTGATGTTTTAAACAGCAGAAATGAATAACATGTCTCTGCTGCTACTAAATACGAAAGGAAAAAGCTCTGGAATATATATTTTTTTCTTTTTTAATAATTATTTCAGAACACCACTGGCACTAGTGGCCTGTGAAAGCTGTACCCCAGGGGAAGAGGCTTTTCTGAATAGTAAGCCCTACTTTTAAAGACAGTTATGTTTAAATTCTGATCAGAGAGTGGAGTGTTCTTTCAATAAATTAATGTCTTTTTGAAAGAAGCCATTGTCAGTGTTCTCCATCTGCTGCCCACCCACCTGCTGTCTAACTTAACAAAGCCAACCTCACAGGTAATTGTATTACTTGTGAGATCTACAGTCACGCAATGGCTAAATAGTGGCTGTTAGCCACTATGCATGAGGTAGCAAAATGGGAAAGTGAATTGTCCAAGCAGAAACTGTAAGATGTAGTATCTAAAACTGGCACAGTGCCTCCAAGAGCAATGATGGAGTCCAAATACGGTAACACCTCAAAATAATCAACCCATCTGAAGCAAACAAGAATTAAGTTTATCCATGGGCCCTATTGTGAGAAGTTGAGCAGTAGCATTGGGAGATGGGTGACTTGGGAAACATGGATTTAAATAAGCTTGGGTGTACAGTTCACTTGTGAGAAGGCTGGCATTGAGAAATGGATGATATGGCAGAAATTCAGCATCCGGAATTAAGGGATATGCCCAGGATGTCTGTATGATGACCAGGTTTAATGTTTCCATAGTTAAATGCCAGCATGTTGTTTAGTGATGAGAGTATAGAAATAAAGGAATTCCACATGCTATACAGATAATTTGCGTTTGACAAGCAATTTGTATTAGCAATCTCAGAACATGGAATTTCTGTAAGATCTTGCATTTAAGGGCTCTCCGAGGTTCTGGCAGGGGCCCTTTTAACATAGCTTTTGGGAGCATAGCTCTTTCAGTCTAGAATGAGGATTTGAGTGGTCTGGTATTTTCTCAGAGAAGAAGATCAATTTGGCTTTTCTGAGGGCCTGCAGACAAATAATTCTATGCCAGGTCATCTTCCCAGATTTTCTTGAGACCTTTAAGAGGTGCTACTTCTTGACTGCCTGCCTAAAACAGAAATCGATCTGACCCAGGACCCACAAGATTGAATTGTAGGTCAGATATTGTATACTCTGAATCTGGGACTTTGTATGGAGGCTAAGAAGGCTAATTGGGTTAAATGAAGGCTTAATGAGAGCTAAGTGAAGCCTTTCTTAATCCAGCTCTCAGATTGGAGATAGCATAGCAGTAGGGAGGGAGAGAGAATCTATATTTTGCAACATGTTGTAGCAACTAAGTTATGACTACTTGTTTTAAGTTTGATTGGAGAAAATGAGATTGCCAGCAGAGTCGACAGCCTTGCTGGGCTCTGCTCTGTGCCACAGAAGGGGCGGGACCTCTGGTGGAAGGGACAGGGCTGGGGGCAGCTAGTCCTTAGCATCACCCAGATGGCAGCCCCCCCCCCCCAGCCCTTAGTGCTGCTGGGAGTGCCATTTAAAGGGCCCAGGATTCTGGCTGTCACCACTGTAGCAGCAGCTGTGATCAGGAGCTCTGGGACCTTTTAAGTTTCAGGCCCTGGGGCAATTAACCCCTTGTTTCCCCTTCCCCCTGTTAACGGGCCTGGAGACTGCAGTTGGAAGTGTCAGTTTGGATCCTGAGGAAATAGGGTTTTAAAACTGAAAACAGCATTGCTATCTTCCTGACCAATATCTGTTCTATAAGATCTAGTCTATGTATAATGTCTTCCTCTTGTCTTGACAGCCTTTCCTTTATTTGCTATTTTGTTGCGAACCTCTGTGTGTGTGTGTGTGTGTGTTTTTTTTTTTTTTTTTTAAAGGTAAGCAGGCGAGGAAGACCCTTAAAGAACAACATGGACCTTGATGTGTTAAATATGTTTGTAATCGCAGGAGGCACTCTGGCTATCCCCATTCTGGCATTTGTAGCATCCTTTCTCCTGTGGCCTTCTGCGTTGATCAAAATCTATTATTGGTAAGTTTAAAGTATAAGAATTTTAGCACAGAGTGGTTATTTTTGGTTCACACGGTAACTTAGATTTAAAATGTTGTGGTTGCCAGACGGTGTTCAATATGGCCCACTTATCTTAAAGATGTGTTCCCCATTGATCATCTTATGGTTTGTAATTCTTATTCTTAACTCGGATTCATAAAGTAGTGCCTGGTGCGTCAGGCTTGGGTTGAGGGCCCTGTTGTGATGGGTGGTGTTCACGTGCATAGGAAGGAACAACGCTTGCCCCAAAGTGTTTACATTCTAGCTATACAATGCAGATAAAAGGTGGGAGAAAGGAAGTATTATTTATCCTGCTTTTCCAGGCAGGATCCTGGGGAACAGAGGGATTGAGCAACCTGCCCAGGGTCACATACGAGTGCAGGTTGGACCTCCTACTCCGGCATCGTGGGGACCTGACCTGTCCTGAACAAGAGAATTTGCCAGACCTGGGGAGGTCTCATGCCACTGACCCCCAAGACTATCACCCACTGCTGGCAGGCTGTGCCAGGAGGCAACCCTTCCTCACCTTCCCCCCCCAACCTGGTTGGGCTGCTTGCTGGATCCCTGGGTGGCACAGGCCCTGGCTCCTGCTGCAGGGCTCTGGTCCTGCGCAGCCAAAGGCAGCCATGGGGCTGGAGCTCCTGCCCTGTATAGCCTCAGCCCTGGCACTGCATGGCTGGAGGAAGCCGTGGGGCTCCGATCGCAGCCCTGCTTAGCTTTACCCCTGGCCCTGCACAAACCGGGGAAGCTGCGGGGCTCTGACGCTGGGCCCATGCACTCTCAGCACTGGCCCCGCGTAGCCAAGGGAAGCCACAGGAAGCTACATGGCTCTGACCCTGGCCCTGCACAGCCCCAACCCAGCCCCATGCTGCCAGGGCAAGCTGTGGGTTCTGGCCCTGTGCTCTTGGAGGTTGTTGCGGCTTTACCCCACACTGCCATGGGGCTCCAGCCTCAGCTTCACACTCCCGAGGGCTGCTGGAGGCTGCTGCAGGATTCTGGCCCCAATCCTGTGTTGTTCCCCGCTGACCATGATGCCCAGCCCAGCTGGTGCTCCTGCCCTTAGGCTCCCCGGGACTCTGGTCCAGGAGCTTCCATAGTCTTGCTGGACCAGGGATGTTGCCAGACCAGAGTGTGCTGGTTTTTGGAGGTACAACCTGTAGTGATGTTGGAACAGTTTTTTTTACAGTGGGGGTGCTGAGAGCCATTTAAGAAAACTGGATTTAATGGAAACCACTTCAAACTTGGGGGTCCTGCTGCACATCCAGTCCCCCTTTCCCCCCATACAAGATCACTGACAAAGCCAGGTACTGACCCCAGGTCAGTGTTATGTTCTTTTCTAGCCTATAGAAATGACTATCAGCAGAGTCCAGCACTAGTAGATTTTAGGAGACAGGATTGCGTAGTGACAAGGAATGTTCTGAAAACTTCCCAAAATCTCAGTCAGCTATTCTTGATACCGAGGTATGCTGGCACCTGGGGGAAATATTCTTAGAGACAGTAATACGGAGTTTAGCTATTATGCAATTTGTATTGCTCTTTAAGAACATCACTTTAAATCACAGCCTGAAGGAATGTTACCATTCCTTATCACACTCTCCCATATGAGGCTTTTTGGGTTTTGTCTTTGTTGCAGGTTGCCAGGCAGAGTGTGATTATATGGGTTGCTTTCATTTGGGAGGGAGGGCTTGCCCATGAGAAATGGTGTCCTTTGTACTTTTCACAGTACAGGAAAACAGACTGGGGACAAAAGTCTTGTTAGACACCTTCCTCAATCAGAAAGGCTATTTGGATCTTGTGGGCAGGAGTGATTGCCACAGTGAGACCAGAATGTGGGGGAAGCAGAGCAGAGATGCAAGACCAGGTGTGGGAAATAATTAAAAGCAAGAGAGCAATTGGTAAAGTCTTCATGATTCCACTGTGAACTGGGACAGGGCAATCTTCCAAGCAAGTGGAAACATGGTAATTTCCTGCTCAGAAAAAAATAGAAATGTTATGCTCAGAAGTAGTAGAAAACCCCCATACAGAAGTATTCTGCATTGGTAATGCAGTTGTCAAGAGTCCGGGCAGCAACTCTTGACCGCTCATGACAAGCTGCATTTCTGTGAGTTATCATCTCCTGTGCAAAGGCGACTATGATAATGGGCTCTCACTGAGAGAAATAATAATGGCTGAGTTAGTACCCCAGGACAGCTGAATTGCAAATTGCCACTGTACTTACAGGAGCCTGGCCAGTCTTATTTCACTATGGCTTGGCTGTTCAGAACAAACACAAGATACCTTCACGTGGTTACTAGCGTGTGATGTGGCCTGTCAGTTTCTTGAATATGGATGTTAATCTGAGTGTTCTTGTTAGTATCAGGTTATGCCAAGCTTCTCTGAAACCACATCTTTCTTCGTAATTAAGAATATCATTTGAAATGTGAAAACTGTTACAGAAAGATGGTTCCCTGCTTGCTCTCTTTTTTTTGCACTGAGGTGCTGATGAGAAATTGTATAATCTTCCTCATTAGCCAATTGTATCCCATCCTTTCCAATAACTGAAGAGAGCTAGACTAGTTCCTTAGTCTTCATGGAAATGATTATTTCAATCTCTCTTTTTATTTCAGCTGAGGGCTTAGTCAGAAATATTCCTTTAACAATGTCTTATGACATTCCAGCTGTCTTGCTGTACCTGATGTACAGTTAATAGTATGAGTTGTTTACATTTTGTCACTCATCAATTCCTCTCTAGTACTGGGTATCTTAAAATCAAACTGATCTTCCAAAGCAATTTCTGACCATAGTTCAATTTTGTAAGCCCACCTCTAGTCACTCAGACAAAGACAGCAGCATCCATCTCTCTCTCTTTTTTTTTTTAACAGACAGATATGGTGTAGATCTAACTCAGATTTACTCTAATTAATCTCCTAAACTATATATTTAGACAACTGAAGGTTAAAACTGGAAGGATGTGATCAAACCCAAGAACATCAATAACTAAATTTGTGAGAGGAAGAATTCCTTCCCTTCAAGAATCACATCAGAAACTGTGAGGCAGGATGATGTTTCTAAAAATTGAATGCAGAGATGGCTAAAAAAATATCACCAGTTCTTTGCTATGGAAATGTAAGTCCAGGTTCTGGGACATCTGCGTCCTCTGGGTTGTATAAATCCAGTTGGTGAAAGGGCATTAACCAATTTTCACTTCCTTGTAGATGTTGCTGCTTTTTAAAAAAAAAAAACAACAGTAATTTGTTTATGGATGCACATTCCCAAGACACAGAGAATAATGGCCCATCATCAGTAGAATTATCAGCAGCCATTGCTGTAACAAAGATCGCATAGATTTTGGGGCAGAGTTGCTTTTTCACTCACATGCTTAGATTGGAGAACACATTGCCACAGAATGTCTTTGAGGTCAAGAATTTAGCACAATTCAAAGAAGGATTGGATGATATGGATAACAATGTAGCCACAGTTGGTAACAAAGAGGAGTTTGGGAAAAGATTTCAGGGTTTAAACTGATCTCTCAACTAGTTGGGGTTAGAACGAGGCCTTCATGGGCAGGCAGATTACCCCAACTCTGCCTATTCTGGGCTTTCTTGTACCTTCTGCAGAAGCATTTGGTCAGGAGTGCTGCAAGAATTTGTACAATGGGTGTGCTGAAAGCCATTGAATCAAACAATAAACCCCTCTATTTAATGAAAACCACTTCAAATAGGGCACTGGACTGGACGAACCTTGGGGCTGATTCAGAATGGCAGTTCCTATGTTCTTGTAAATATTTTATCAGTGGAGAGATAGGTAAGAGTTTCAGAGTAGAGGAGATAAAAATGCTGACGCCAGAGTGCTCTGAAGAGCCAAGCTGAGGAAGAGAGGTAAGAACCAGCTATATGTTTTAAAAAAATTGTTAGGGAATGAGGGGAAAATTCATGTTGAGGAATGGCACGGCTGCATTAGCAGAGTGGAGGACAGGATGAGAGGATTTGTTCAAAGAGATCAATATCTGTTTCTTTTTTTCTAAGCTCATCTTTGAGTCTACATCTGTAGTAGTTGGATCTATAATGCCCGGACCTAAGTAAGAATTCTGTAGATGACTTTTGTACATCTTGTTGCAGAATATCCAGCAGTTCCATAGAATTCTCTTTTTGTTTTTGTTTTTTTTTGTTCTTGCTTCCTGTGAATCTGGTTTCTTCTGGATTTTTATTGTTTTATTTGTTTGTTGTATTTCATTAGAAATTGTTTTTTGTTCTCAAATCATATTCTCTTTGGGCACCTGTAGGAGGGAACAAAGGGGAAATATTGTGGCTGTTTCCACTTCTCACGGTAGAGTGAGCTTCTGAGAGAGGCTGAAATCCCAAACTTGACAGGGATAACCGGTAACAGCATGTCACATTTCTGGTCATCCACACAATTTAAAACCTGTGCCCTTCGTTCCCCCATTCTCTCTCCCCTCTCCTCTTTATTGTTCTTATGGGTTGCACTAGGTCTGCTTAGTGATGGAGGCAAGGGTCTTAGTTTGTAGTTTGAGTGCTACATAATGTCTTTTGCCTTTTCACCTGCTTTTGGTGTGTGTCTCCATCAGGGCTTGAGGTCTGAGACTGCCCTACTGCCATCTGGCAGTGGATCGCCCCTCCTTTGCTTCGTGTGCTAATCTGTTTAGCTGTCATTCCTGCCGCCACTAATAGTGTTAACACCTTGTGAGGGATCAGTTCAGCTTTGGACAGATTATTTTGTCTTTTGCTGAATTGATCCATCAGGATCAGTTGCTAAAAATGTTAATATCTTGTCTAGTGATGGTTTACACGGGGGGCCCCTGAGGCAAACTTTAATACACTTATTCATTCAGAGTGAAATTCACCTCTGTGTTAGGACTGGCACAAGGTCTAGGCACCACATAAACCCAATTTGAGGGTTTACTCAGGGCCAGATTAAGACTTTGAGGCCCTAAGCACTGAAAAGATTATGGTGCCCCTCCCTCCATATGTAATTCAAAATAAAAACAATACTATACCATAAAATCTTGTGTGTGTGTGTGTGTCCCTGCTTTGCTGGTGCCCTAAACATGTGCTTAGTCTGCCTATTGGGTAATCCAGCCTGGGGTTTACTGTAAATAAGTATTGAGACACTCCATAAGCTTTTTGCTGTGTCTCACAATGGCAACACAATCCAGTCTTAATGATGTCATAATTGCTTCTTATATGAACTGATACTACACAAGCAGTATTTGTCAATATTCTGGTCTGATTTAGAGGAAGCAGCGTGAGGCTGGGGGAGCACAGGAAGTCTCTGGCTCCTTGCCTTGCCCTGCAAGGGGTGTTGAGCTTAGTCAACCACCAGGTACTCAGGTGGCTGTGAGGAGACTTTGTGCACTTCCCCCATCCCCAGGCCCTGATTGGCTTGGGGATGGGGAAGCGGCAGGGCATCTGCGGTCTGGCTCAACCCGCTTGTCAGGCTGGATCTGCCCTTTACAGCTTCCTTCAGGGAACTCCTCCATTTTTGAGTCTCCCTGATCCATTAAGAATCCATGTGCAGCTCTGTGCTCATAGCTGGCCAAACCAGGAGCACCTATTCTAACCCAAGATTCTGGGCCAGCTTCATTGGAAGAGATCAGCCACCCCGGGGCAGCAGCCGAATTGTTAAACTTTGATAAAAGTTGCTAGCTGTCCTGCTCTGTTCAAGTTCTCAGCACTCATCAGTGTGGTATCTGACTGCCTGCCCTAAGGGTTGGATCTGCCCCAGTGCATAGGGCATACACAAGCCCTACACAACACTGGAGCTTCACTTTCCATGTATGTGGTGTATCAATCTTCTGTGGGGGTTGAGCTCTCTGTGGCATGTCTCATTGAACTTCAGTGAGTCAGTGTAACTACTGCTCAGTCTATCTCCATGTGCTTTTCTAATATAAACTGAACCTCGTGATTCCTCTCTTGAGGAAGAAGGAATTTTGTGTCCATATTAAAATTGATTAAACTTGAGGTTAAAGTTCAGCACGTGCTCTGAGGCATCCTCAGCATCTAGTGATTTCACTAGGGATTGGTGTTGCTGACCGTTTGCAAGAGATGCTCGGTACTTCTTAGACCTTAATGCCTAGATCTGCAAAGGTTCCAAACTTCCATTGAATTTCGTAGGAGTTAAGTCTATTGAGGATCTGGGTATTAAGTGACTTGTCTGTGTTCTCATAGCAAGTCAGAGCCCAGAATGTAACCCACGAGTCCTGTCTGCCTGTGTGCTACTAGATCATGCTCCACTGTCACGTTTTGCTTATTTCTTTGTCTTTAGGTACTGGCGTCGAGCACTGGGCATGCAGATTCGGTATGCTAACTATGACGATTACCGGTTCTGTTTTTCCTATCGAGGAAGACCTGGATTCAGACCATCCATACTGATGTTGCATGGATTTTCAGCCCACAAAGATATGTGGTTGTCTGTGGTCAAGGTATGTTTCCATTTTTCTAGCAATAAATCAACACCACTTTAGCAAGAGAATGTTTTTACTTTCAGGGCTGTTGGTGTGGTGAAGGAGGGGTAGCACAATCAGAAACTTAGCTTTACAGGTCCCAGCTCTGACAGTTATTTAGAAAACTAGAAATATCCTCAGCTACTGTACACATTGATCATCTGGTGCATTCCACCCCTTTTTGTCATTCAAATTTTAGAGGATTTATGCTTCCAGACTTAATGTCATAGATTTGTTCCACACTACAAAGTTAGGTTGATGTCAGCTGCCTAACATCAATGTACATGCTACCGCCTTGCTCTCACCGATGTAAGTGCCTTACTACCTCAACACAGTAAGTTCACCTCCCCGAGAGGTGTGAGTCGGGTGATGCGGTGTCCATGTAGATGCTGCGATACTTACTTTATCTGTTGGCTGGTGGTATTGTCAATTTCACTGCTCCTGCAGGGAACCCTGGGTAGTGGTAGGCTCCTGCCTGCCTCTCACCCCAGCCCTCTGCTCAGGAAGGAACCTCCCCTCTGGGGAGGTGAGAAGCCAATAGCTCTGGTGGTAGCTGGGCTCCCAGTGAGGAGCTGTGTGGCTATGAGAGCCCTGCTCTCTCAGCTTCCCATTTTGCTCTTCTTGAGTCAGTGGGAAGCACCCTTCCTGAGGACGTGCTCCAGCAGCAGAAGGAAGGTAGTGTGGTCATTGGCCACCACAGTAATTGCTGCAATGGCTGTAAGATGACCTAACCCCAGTTGACTCAAGTTTGCCACGTAGACATGCTTATCAAGTTCAAGATCAGAAGGGATCACCAGGTCATCCAGTCTGTCCCCCTGTATATGACAGGCTCTTAAATTATACTTAATAGGATGGAGTCTCTTCTTAATAGCTGGAATCAGGTGAATAATAACAATACTAGGTCATTTCTGGTATTTAATATATTGGGCTAGATTCACGCTCTAGTCTGTGCCAGTATCTAGGCAGAATCCCTGTGGAAGGCCCTTAAAACCCAAAATTTGCTGAGGGAGAGAACGGTTGTAGTCTAAGAAAACAGGCATCATCTCCATGACACCAGCGATGTTCTTAGGTGCGTTTTCCCCTCCTAAAAGTGGGTGTTACTGGTCAGAATGGCAGTGTGGCTAGGAGAATTCTGAGAGATGGGGTTGGCCTTACCATGAGGCAAACTGACGTGGCCGCCTCAGGTGCCAGTCTGGGGGGAGGAGGTGCCACTAGGACCCAGAGTGTAGAAAATTGTTTCTGCTGCTGGTGCATATGTATTCTCTCTGCTCTGAAAGTTAAGTGTTACTTAAAATTTTTGAACAGGGCATTTTAAGTTGTTAGTTCTCCTTTTTTGGGGTCATGGGCGGCAGGTTTGTATAATTTTTGGTGGTGCCCATTAGCCACGGCCCCTGGCCTCGTTAGCCGCACCCCCTCTCTCCCTCCCATTAGCCATGCCTCTGGAGGTAACAGGCTCGGGGCAAGATGGACACATGACCAGAAGTAAAAGGTGTCATGTCACCCCTCTCGAAGGGCTTTTCCCCACCAAATCCCCCACATGTAACTATCCTGCAGTTGCATTAACCCCATGTGTGTCACATTAACTCTTGTGGCTTCTTGTGCAAGTACTGCCGTTCTTGTGCAAGAACCCACAGAGCATCCACACTGCCTGCCTGCTCTTGCGCAAGGAAATTTACAGTACAGCGTGGTAAGAGAGGGCGTCTTGCGCAAGAGCTCCGCTCTTTTCTAACAGGTGTAAGCTCTCTTGTGCAAGAGGGCAGTGTGGATGCTTGGCAGGGATTTCTTGTACAAGAAACCCCTTTGGCTAAAATGGACATCGGAGCTTTCTTGGGCAAGAGAGCATCCACGCTGCCATGGATGCTCTTATGCAAAAGCACAGCTCGCACATGGCAGTGTGGATGTGTTCTTGCGCAAGAAACAGCTGGTGTAGACATAGCCTAAGAGTTTCCTCCCATGAGTAGAATGAATTTTGTGTTGTGCACCAGTACTGAGTTCATGTGGCTTGTTTGGATGTGCCACTGTGGCACCCAAGTTATTAATAAATATTTTTAAACCTTTACCTTCTCTCTGTTGCCATGTCTCCTCCCCTTGTTCCATCAGCTCCCTTGGTTCCTGCTGCCCCCCCACCCAACCCCTCACCCTCCTCTGCTGTCCTGACTCCTGCCCTTCTCACTGCCCTCAGCCCTCCTGAGACCTGCCCCCCTCCATCAGCCCTTCTCTGCCCCCGTGCCCACTCTTCCAGTAGCCCCACTCTGATCATGTGAGCTACCCCTCCTCATCCCCTCC